TCAACCCGAGGATGATTCTTGCCCAAGAACCTCACTGATTTATAATAGAAATCAAATGAAAATATACACATAAACTATTTTTATAAACTTCCACCCACTATATGAATAAGTGTAATTATGATGATTGTCACCCATGCCCACAAGCTTAGCCCAGTTCCATACTCTGATAGAGACCACATAGTCTATCTGGAGGGAATTAACGGAACCTTAGCTAGGTAACTCAGGTGTCTTTAATGTTCTTTCTAAAACCAACCCACCTCCCATTGGAGTTGCTTTCTGCCTTACTCTCTCTTGCTGTCTTAGAAGATCTCACCTGAATATTATAACTGATAGCTCAGAATCCCCTGATACTTCAATACCTCTCACATTCTGTCTGGCTATCTTACTGATCGTCATACTCTCTAGGTTTTTGGCTTAACATTAATAAATAGTTCAGTCATTTAGCTGATTTAGACTCAATGTAACAAATTCTTTTCTAAACACGATTATCTACAAATACAGCAAGCTGCCTTAAGAGTTCTGTATCATTTGAGATAGTCAAGACAAAGCTACATATTCATTGGCCATAATTACTGTAAAAGGCACTGCTGCTCTGTTTGCAAGATTAGACAGGATCACTGTAAGATAGTAATCACCAGCTTCACCACTGAACCACTCTGGTTCTCTGATGCTTCTGGAGTTACGGTTCTGAAGACATCATTATGGTTCCTGACATCATTACATTTTAACAAACTAAAAAAATTATTCCTATAGAATCCAAAATAAATAGACTCTTATTTGAAAATTATTTGTGATTTCAGTTAAATGTACTCCAGAAACACAAATGATCTGTGTGTCTAGATGTTAAAACTATTACTGCACTAACATCTTCATTAAAGACAGCAATAATTAGACAGAGAAAATGATGTCATTAACTCTGAAAAAGAGGGTTCTTTAAAATCACATATGGTAAGTGATATGGTTTGACTGTGTCCCCACCCAAATCTTGAATGCCCAAGTATTGTAGAAGGGTTCTGGTGGGAGGTAATTGAGTAATGGGGGCAAGTCTTTCCCATGCTGTTCTTGTGATGGTAAATAAGTCTCATAAGATCTGATGGTGCTATAGGGGGGAGTTTCCCTGCACAGGCTCTCTCTTTTTGCCTGCTGCCATTCATGTAAGATGTGACTTGCTCCTTCTTGCCTTCTGCCATGATTGTGAGGCTTCCCCAGTCATGTGGAACTGTAAATCCATTAAACCCTTTTTCCTTATAAATCACCCAGTCTCAGGTGTGTCTAATACAGTAAGCCATGTCCCAAACCAAATATCCATAAAGAATATGGTGGTTCTAATTATAATTTATGTTAGTATACTGTTTTCAATTTGAAATCAAAAGCTCTTTATACTGTGTCTATAAATCAATCTTATAAACTAAACTAAAACATGAATGGTGCAAAAGTTTGACAGTCACTTTATAATACTTACAGGAAAAGTTTCTGTAGATTTGTTAAAGTTAAATTTATTTTAACATTAAGTTCCTCCTTTTTCCTTTTATGATTGTTTTATAGTATTGTTTTATGTTTAGCTTCAGTTTTAGGAGAGAAAAATAAAACGTCTTAGCATACCATATACAGTAACTTAAATGCTATGATACTATAGAAAATGACTGATTTTCCTAGACTTTTTATCTTTCCATTTCTGTATGAAATAACAAAACCCACTGATATGGGTATTTGTGATCCACTATGCTAAAAAGCCCTGTCGTTTCTTGGTCTTTTTTATTTCATGACTGTTGTGAGCCAGATGGAAAATAGGATAAAGACATGAGAATTATTGGGCAGAACAATGGGTTTGAATTATAAAACTGAACAGTTAGGAGGGGCAGGGAAATAAGCAAAGAGAAGGCAGAATTGAGACAGGTAAAAATGCAGTGAGCATGTTCAGAAGACAGTTTGCCAGTGGAGTCACAACTTACCAAGAATCACTATAGACAATGTCAAGGGTTAACCCAATTTAAATTCAAGCATTTATCCTTTGTGTTACAAACAATTATACTCTTTTAGTTATATTAAAATGTGCAAGTAAATTATTATTGGCTGTAGTCACCCTGTTGGGAGATTACATACTATATGTTACTCATCGAAGCCTTGTTTTTAAAGTTAAAATCTCAGATGATTCTCCCCTGTGTTTTCTGATTCACTGTCCTGCACTCTAAATGGCCATCAACTCAGGAATAGAGATTATTGAGCCTCCAAGAACTACCTAATGGAGCAATTATATAACTACCATTGGTAGTTATTCCAATAAGTTACTACTCATTTTGGTTTTCATTCCATTACAGTTTTTTGATATGATTATTTGAACCTAAAAGTGTAATGTAGTTTGGTTCCTAAGAGTTTATTAACAGAAGACAAGTTTTAACTTATGAACAATAGGTGCTGGGAATTAGTTTGTGTTACTTAAAAATGTGAATTGAATTGTATCTCATTTAGAATGAGGAATTTGTGAAAGCCAAATATAGTCACATTATCTGTAAAAAGTGTGAATGGTTGAACAATTACTCAAGAAACATGATCCATAGTGGCAACAAATATAACTGCTGTTCGTAAGACTTTGCTTTTCTATAAAGTGTTATGTGACCTGTCTTACCTACAGTTTCTTTCCCCTTTTTTGCATTTATATATGCTCCCTAAAAATATAGATTATGCAAATTTCTCTAATTTCTTATTAGTTATAAATCTGAATTAGAACAAAAATAACAAGCATTCCTGCTACTGAAGAAGTCAGACTTATTTAAAAGTATGATTTGGGGGGCAAAGGTATAAATAAGGTGGATTTATTCTATATATTGCTGTACTATTTTATTTCAAATATAGTAATGCATAAAGTTTAAAATTAAAGGTGCTTTCCATGTAGATTAATACTATCCATTTCATCTTTGTCAAGTAGAAGTAATTGGTTGGCTCAGTACAATCCAGTCAGACCAAGTAGCTCTGTTGTTTTTCAGAAATGGGAGAGATTGAAAGTTTAAAAAGCATTCATCATCAGGAGAATTTGTTTTAAAAGCTTCCAAGCTCCCAAACAGCCAGTAGATAAATTACCCACTATTCAGAGAAGGAGAGCACAATTAGTTTTACATTATGCTAAACCAATCAGCTCCTTAAGTGACTACGTTTCTTGAGAAAAAAACAATATGAATGTCATAGTTTGTCCTCTTTCTCCCAGGCTTTACAGCCAACAGTAAGCCTTTTCTCATACTAGAACTTTTATGGAAAGCTTTGTGAATATGTTTTGCCACTGTTTTTAGATAAGGAGAAATATATTCATGACTTGTAACCATATGGCTAATAATACCTGCTTCACAATGCAAAGTCAATGAGGTTTTTGTTTTATTCAAATGCTTTGAAGCTTTATGGTGAGAAGGAAGACTTCAATAAATTATTTTCAAACCTACCTTTCTTCCTCCAACAATTATTTTTATGTAATTATTTACAATTAAGAAGCAAAGGAAGGTGTAAGAAAATATTATACTGGGGGTAATAAATTATGCACAAAAAATCTGCAGGTTGTTTTTTTCATCTTAACAAAGTAAATATTTACTAAACAGCCATTACCTCTTTTGACACATACAGGATGGTGTAAGAATGTACCAAATTCATGTCAACTGCCATGACTTAACCTGGAGAAATACCATGACTAGTAAACTTTATATACACAGCTGCTGCAGTATTTTTCCCATTTTCCATTTATAATAAGAAAGTGATCAATGGAGGCCTTAGAGGAAAGAGTGCAATTGCAATCATATAAATAGCCTTATTTCCTTTTTGCACACGAGTGAATCTATCAAAAGTCAAACATTGTATTACCTTATTTTCATATATCAGTGTTCACCTATGGGTTACTTGTATTTTATTTTTTAAGTTATTCATTCTCATATTGATAATTGATCATTGTTGATATGTGCATGCAGGTCATATACAAAACTTCCTTTACACCACACAAAAAGTAGTCTACTTATGTTGTATAGTAAGTTCGAACCTTTGTGACTTAAGTACCAAATGGACTCTTCCCATGCACATAAACACAACCTGGAACTGCATGAGAAACACATTTGAATACAGCTTTCATTTTTCAAAATTCATATATATGTGATCAGTGTAGAGTATAAATTGGGTAAGGAGAAAGAGAGGGAGGAGAAAAGGAAAAAGGCAGTGAGGGAGAGAAACAGAGAAAGAGAATATATCAAAATACAGCGTCAAAATGTACTTACGTCTTATTCATGAAAGTTTCTTTCCTAGGAATATAAGTTTTTAAATATGTTTGACTATAGAAAAGACTATTAAGTGGGTATGTTTTATTTTTAGTTCAGTTTAATTTTTTTGCTTTTTTTCATGTTAGACAGGTAATGTGCCAACATCATAACAAGGTTTGAAGGAGGCACATCTCACATGTGAGTGTGAAAACTCAATCATCATGTTCACTGAGTCTCTTTCAACCAGTAGTCTTGGCCAGCATGAAATCTGGGGGGCTGCAAACTTCCAAAGAAATTCTCACCACCCATTTGCCATACTCAGTCTTTTTCATAATCTTTGTATCATGGACTTCAAATCTTTAGTAAATAAAGTCAAGTTACCTAATTCTCTGGCTACTTATAAAAGGCCGATGGTCAGTCTTGATAGGGGCAACAAAAGATTCATGAGTAATTCAAATTTCTTTCCCTAGCCTAGAACTTTAAGTGGTTCCTACTTTGACTTGGACAAGAACTCAAGTTGAAAATAATTGCTGACCTCAGGCAGTAAATTAGCTGGATTTTAAAAAAATTGTAACACTCCATAAATGAAAACAATTATAGAATTGCCTAGAACAAAGGACCTAAGAACCTACCATCAAAATTATTTGTACTAAATATCTAATTCTTCCTTTATTCTTCTCCTGATTTAACCTTAAAATCTATCAGTATATGCATGCTATCGACAATGAAACACAAATCTCTGTATTTAAATTTTTTTTTTTATTTTCTCAGTTTCTACAGATAAAGTGATCTGAAATAACGCATGATGCCGCAAAGCAGAAGAGAAACTGTGACAACCCCCAGAAATGTGAAAGGAGGTTTCTTATTGGACAGCAGCATCTTTGGTTCAATTTATATAAAAACCCAAATAAATAAAATGGACAGTATTGCTCAATTTTAGAAATTCCATTTCTTCTATGTTTTAAGCTGTACAATTGTCAGGTTTTTATGGTTTAAAATTGTAAATGTGTTTTCCCCTTTGCTAATTGTTTTTTTTTTTTTAGTCTTAAAATGTGAAAGGCATTTATGAATGGTAAGGGAGACACTATATACAAATGTATATTTGTAAAAGCTATTTTTATGATTAGCATGTTTCACTGTTGATCATATATAAAAGGTGATATTGCAATTCTGTATTTAAAGCTTATTTCCAACAATGTCATGTAAGAAAATATGCATCTTATGCTAGTTTTTATAATTTATTTTTAATTTATAGTTTAAAGTACTTGAGATCATAATGATAAAATACTTGAAAAAGTTATATTTCTGCCCTGTATAAGTACCCTTTTTATTAATAAAGAATGCAGATATTTCAGATGTGATATAATAGTTAAAGAACTGTTGGTTTGATCTGTGATTAAGTTGAGCATGCTCCGCTCTACAGAACTAAAATGATCCAATTATTACTTCAGTCTGGGTATGAGATTCCATGGACAGGTTTTAGTGTTCATACAAGTAAGGACTAAATTGCCAAGGAAAAGACTGTCTTGCCCTTGGATCCAAAAGTTTAAATTAGTGCATACTCATGTCATTTCACCTCCTGTTCCTAGGAACTCTCCATTCCCAAGCATTGCAAGTGTTTTCCAGATAATCTTAGCTGTTGTCTTGTGCTGTGGAAATGGAAGAAACCATCTTCACAGACTGTAGGAGAATTCAACATATAATTTCTTAATAAATACTGTTTCTTTTAAAACAAAGTTGGTGTGTATCTTTCCTTTGGGGTACATTTAGCTTTAATATTCAGTTTGAACTTTTTCAGTCACTGTGCTACCACAAAATCATCACCATAATGAAAGTAGCGTATCTTTACCAAAGCACGCATTATAGGTTCTACATGCCCACACCCTCTTGGGAGTGACCTGTATTCTGGAACATGATAATTTGCCATGTAAAAGAAAGCCAGATGGCCTTCAAACCTTGACAGAAGTCACACTCCAGTTTATGTTTTAGGAAAGTATATTTTTCCTCCAAATACAGAATTTTAAGAAAATATTTCAGAATACTACTGAAGATGAAACTAGTTCATCGGGAGGTATTTATGTTCTGCCAGACTTAAAGTCTGTACCTAACCGACTACAAGTTCCTCATCAAAGAGCACAGAGACAACATCTACAAATGTCAGCAAGGACACTTAGTAAGATTAAGCCCTTCTTTTTTCAAAGAAACTGAGAAGAGTCTAAAACTGCCTTGGTATGTGTTCCCTTAATTTTCTATTTAATTTCTTTAAGGTAATTTATCTTATTTCTCTTTTGAAGCCAAGCTAATGAAAAACGATGCCATTTTATCCAACAAGAAGTATTAAAAACCAAAATTCTGGACAAGGAAAAAGAATTACAACTCTAATATTAAGTAACATGAATACACTAAATTTTCCTACTTAAAGTCTGTAGAAAGTTGCACATAGAACCCAAGATCTGGATCAAGAAGGTACTTCCTTTTCAAGGAACTGCAAAAACCATACTATGGTGCACTGTTAACTATTTTTGATTACCAAAATAGTCATGGGAGAATTTGTGACCGCCAGATTAGACTCTTGAAACTGAAAATAACCTGCATATGGTTCTATATAAAATCAGCAGGGTGGCTTCTTGGTTTGCACCAAATAGATGAATTTGCTAGGAATAATCTGATACTCCAGAGAGAAGTGTTGCAGGCACTGTGTATTAGAAAATTATGTATGTGAATATTTTTCCCAATTTGTCATTTGTCCTCATAGTGTTCAATAGTGTGGCATTTATAATCCAGCATTATTATACATTATTGAGAGTATCATATTTTCCCCAATGGACATTATTCTCAAAATAAGATAAATAATTAAAGTGTATAAAAATAATTCTTTGTTATTGGACTGGATTTTCTCCACATAGACCTTGAAATATAAAACCATGGATCTTTCTCTCTGTTACCAGTTCCTGGTTTAAGAATTTTTAATGACAAAGATGTAATAAAATATATATCAAATCAAAGCATAGGTGATTTAGGATTGTAATCCCTAAATGTTTGGTTTAACAACTTAAAAGAAAGCTTTCAAGGGCTGAGGAGGTGAATGTGAGCTTCTTCTAACTCCAAATAATGTCAGTCTCATAAAACAATGCTAAGGGAAAAAGAAAAAGAAGGACATTACTCACTACATTAAATTCAAGAAAAAATATGAAAAATTACACCCATTGCTTAAAGGTAGGTAAACTGGTGACTCATGGAAATGTGAAAAGGGAAAGCACCAATTTTGCTTTCATCTTCAACAAAAGAATAGTTATCAAAGCAGAAATGCACAACCAAGTTAATTAAAATAAAAATGAAGCAGAAGATAAGCCAAAAAGAAACAATTTATTTAAAATTGTTAAGGGGTTAAAAAGGTTTAGAGAACAGGCCTGATGCAGTTGCTCACACCTGTAATCCCAGCACTTTGGGAGACCGAGGCGGGCAGATCGCGAGGTCAGGAGATGGAGACCATCCTGGCTAACACAGTGAAACCTGTCTCTACTAAAAATACAAACAAACGAACAAAAAAATTAGCCGGGCGTGGTGGCGAGTGCCTGGAGTACCAGCTACTAGGGAGGCTGAGGCAGGAGAATGGTGTGAACCCAGGAGGCGGAGTTTGCAGTGAGCAGAGATCACACCACTGCACTCCAGCCTGGGTGACAGAGCGAGAATCTGTCTCAAAAAAAGAAAAATTAAAAAGTTTAGAGAACAATAGCCAGGCGCAGTGGCTCATGCCTGTAATCCCAGCACTTTGGGAGGCCAAGGCAGGCGTGTCCCTTGAGATCAGGAGTTCAAGACCAGCCTGGCCAACATGGTGAAACCCCATCTCTACTAAAAATACAAAAATTAGCCAGGCATGGCAGCGCATGCCTATAATCTCAGCTACTTGGAAGGCTGAGGCAGGAGAATCACTTGAACCCAAAGGGGCAGCGGTTGCAGTGAGCCGAGATGGCGCCATTGTACTCCAGCCTAGATGACAGAACGAGACACCGTCTCAAAAAAAAAAAAAAGGTTTAGAAAAGGTTTAGAAAACAGAAGTTACAAATGCAAATACTTATAAAGCCCTGATAAGAAATATAAATAAAAGAAATAACCGAGAAGTAAGTTAGTAGACGTTAAATGCAGTTCTGTTGATGAGTAGATAACCATTTCTCAGTTTCGTCTAGGCACCTGAAATGAAGAAATTCTGAAGAAATGAAGACCTGGATTGACCAAGTTTCCTGATTTTTCCAGAGAAAATAGACCTCCAGAGTTTAAAATGAGATATTTCATTTTGTTTATTTTGCTCTATTCTCATGTGAATCCTGGTATGATTTACATCCAGGATTTACTAATTATAAGACTTAAAAAGAATAAATTCTTTGTAACTAGAAACAACAAAGTCAAGATTATCTCTGGTGAGAAACAGAGGAAAATAGAATCTGGGAAATAAAATAGGAGTATTCAACAACATCTGTAATAATCGATTTACTAGGAAAAATGTTTGAATCAGACATGGGAAAATGTTAAGATTTGATAAAACTATATGTTGATATTCATTATATTTCCTCTATGTTGCTTTTTAGGGTTAAAATACTTCCTTATAATAAAAGTATGTGATTTATATCTCAAAGTTTCTATACATAGATAAGTTTCTATATATAGATCTATACATAGAAATACAAAGTTTTTCTATAAAAAGTTTCTACACATAAATCTATACATAGATATAGATGTACATATATTCATGATACAGAGATGTGGGTGATATAAAAAGCATAGATAAAAGTGGTAATTTGAAATAGCAGACTGTGACTTTGTGTTCTACTTTTTCTAGAGGTGTTCAAATTCCTAGGCAAGAATATAACCTAGAGAGAGATGCACTAATGTTCAAAGGCATTCTTACAGAGGAGGAAAGTGCGCATGAATTTATTTTGTTGTTGTTGTTGAAAAGGCTTCCTATCAGCACTTGAGATATCTGGAAACTTTAGAAATTTAAATATGAATCATGCAAGAATTTGGGGTACCTGAATATAAAAAATAGTTGCCATGTGTATGTGCTACTCGTATAAGGTTAAGCGCTTTGCCTTTTCTGCCTTTATACTCTGTACAAATGGTGCCTTGGACATAACAATTGATCCACATATGTTCATGGAATTAGATGAAACAGGGTTTTAGGTTTTTACCATATTATAAAAATAACAAAAGCCATAATTTGTTCAGCAAGTACTATGTGCTGAGCACTGTCCTAATTACCTTATATGCATTATCACTAATGCACAAAGGAAAATTGCATGGTAGGTATTGTTACAGGTAAAGAAAGCAGATAATTTGTTCACTCAACAATTCTTTATTGAGTACCAATTCTGCGCCAAGCACTGTTCCCAGCAATAGGGGTCCAGTTGTAAATAATAAAGACTGAAATTCCTCACTTTAAAAAGCTTGTATTCCTCTGGGGATGACATGCTAACAGGCCAATAAACAAGCACGTGTATAGTATTGCAGACGAAAATGATGATAAACACAAAGGGAAAAACAAAGCAGGGAAGGACAATGGGCTGATGAGGTTTTAAATGAGCATTTCAAATGGGCTGGTCAGGGAAATTTCCTTGGTAAGGTGGCATTTGGACAAAGATGTGAAGCAGGGGAGAGGGTGAGCTATGTGACCATTTATGAGAAAAGTCTCCTGAACAGGGGACAGCAAGTAAATGCCCCGAAGCAGGAATATACTTGGTGTGTTTAGGAACAGCAAGCATGACAGTATGTTTGGATTGGAAAAAATGAGGGAAAGAAAAGAGACGAGAGAAGAGCTAGAATTCCAGATCACAGAGCCTTACAGATGAATCTGAGTGCACTGGCTTTTATTTTGCATTGGATGGAGAAACAGGGGAAGGTTTTGAGCAGAATGATATGATCTCACATAAGGGTTAAAAGAACTATGTGGGCTGCTACATTGAGAAAAGACTAAATGGAAGGAACCCAGAAATCCCTATTTTGTAGGTTGAGAAACCACTACATGAGCATGGCCTGTGACTAGACTGGTCTAATCAGAGCAGAGAAGCATGTTCATTTACTCACCAAATATTTTTTGAGCCTTAACTCTATTCTATATGTGTATATAACAATGGGCATGCAATGGTGAATATAAACACATTTCCATTCCTCAAAGTACCTGGTCTGGTCTAGTGAACAATTCTGAGAAATAGCAGAATAAAGATGGAAAAAATAAAAACGTCTAAAATGATATTACAAGTTTAAAAGAACACTGGCTGCCAAAGTCTTGCTTTTTACAGCTCTGATGGAAATGGATAAACATTTTTTAAATTACCTTTGATCAGTTGACTGTAACAGAGCAGCATAGGTGCCCCAAAGTATAGCAGGCAAAGCTCAGATTTACCACAACTTTTTACACTGACTCCACAAACTAGTTGTACATTGAAGAAAATATAGCTATTCACCCAAACACAAGGGAATGTTTTTCCACATTAGCCACGGTGATGGCACACATCCGCATACTCATCAGCTCCTCCCTTTAGATAGTCAAGATAATGTTTCAATTCTTAGAACACAAAATGGTAGCCAACTGCACAGAACAAATTTGACGACCCATCAGTCAGCCCTTCTTCAACTATAAGATCCTGGTTTTGTTCAAATATCAAACGGCCAGTGTATTAGTTCGTTTTCACACTGCTATAAAGAACTACCTGAAATTGGGTAATTTATTTTAAAAAAGGGG